TTACAGAAAGATGTACATGAACACTTAAGGTCCCTGTGTCTATGAAAATAATACCAAGATATGTATGGGTGTACATAGCTGACAAGTTTATCATATTGGGTGTGGAGGAAGGAGAGTTCATGTTCGTTTGTTTGTTTTCTTATGATTTATGTTGCTGTCAAAATAAAAGGATTGAAGTTGTATTTGTTGACGTTCATCAGCAGATGAAGACAGTTCCTCACATGAGCAAATTCCTATTCGTTAATCGCTTCATGGTAAATTTGCTCACGTGAGGCACGTCAACAAATGCAACTTCAATCCTTTTATTTTGACAGCAACATAAATCATAAGAAAACAATCCATTAAACATGAAACATTTAAAGCGAACTATATCAACGCGGGGATTCGTGACGTCATTCTTCGCAAACATTCCATTTGGAGTGATATCCCTTGGTTTTACAAACGGCGGGAAACGTAGTGTTTGTCTTCACGTGACACACTGACGTTCATCGGGATATGAATAACAGTCAGCTAGGTAGTGTTCACCAAGGCGAGTCAGTCGCAACTGTCAATATTTAACTTTTCACTAACCAATAGTGCAGCTATATGATGGCGGTCTGTAACTAATCGAGTCTGGACCAGACAACCCAGTTAGAGACATCATGAGCATCTATTAGGATGACATCCGTCACATGCATCTGTTAGGATGACATCCCTCACATGCATCCGACAAACATGGGTTGCTGAAGACCTATTCTAATCACGGATGTTACATGTACAGTATTGACATTGGTTGCGGTTACGTACAGTAAACTACGGTTATAACGAACACGCTTATAACGAACTGACGGATATAACGAACTCCTTTTTTGGTCCCGACTATTGGCTGTAGTTATGCTGTATATATGCTTATAACGAACTACGGTTAAAACAAACAAATTAGTAGTCCCTTTTAGTTCGTTATAACCGTACTTTACTGTAAGTCTTTTTTTGGTAAATAAACTTTTATCACAGATACGTTTTAAATGTGTTTTAACTCTTTCAACACCGTAGGCCGGTAAACCGACCAAGAAGCATCGAGTCCCCAGGCACCGTAGGTCGGTTAACCGGCCAGGCCTTAGTCACGTCAAAATAGTAGGCCAATATATTTTATGGACCTTCCTGTCATACCATTCATTTTTAAATCTATCACATCTCACAATGTCTGAAATACGTTTTCTATTTCAATTTATCATTTTTTATCGATAGATTAAAAAGTTGTTCACTTTTTTCCGCAATGTCATTGAAAATATAATTCTCGGACACACACTTCGACAACGGGTGCACATCGAACATGTCAAAGAGCAAAACAAAGACGTTTCAAGTAAATCATTAAATACATTATACAAAGTGATAAATTAAATCAACAAAAATATATCTAAAAGTGGTCAAACTTACAGCTAAGTTATTATTTCCATCTTTTCATGCGATCGCGTGTAATGTTAGTCAAATGACACCTCGGCTTTCGTCGCATCGAATTCCCGGCTCGGACACGATGTTCAATGCCAAAATATATGCATGAAAAATCTTTGTCACAGCTCGAAACCTAGCATGGTACATCCACGAAGATTCATATTTTTAATATAGATAGCGATTTCCTGCTTAAAACGTTCAGAATAACACGATTTAACCAAACTATTTCGTAAAAATCTTAAATTCATCGTACACGAGGATTTGTAATTTGATTGCCTGCCTCAGGTCACGTGCTCAAATTTGACCAATCATGAACCTTGTAGCAGATTTCGGCAAGAAAGCGTCTTAAGAAACCATTTTCTATCCAATGCAATCTTATGTTATAGCTACGAAAAGACTCCAGGCAATGTTACGAGTGTGTAGATGGAACAAACAAGCTCTCTAGCGATGTGTCATATGTCAGTCTTCGACGAATGTGTTATTCATACGAAGCTTTCGAAAACGGAGGTATTTCTTCATGTAACTGAGCAAACAGCCGCTGTTATCTGGAAATGGGTGAAAACAGATACCATTCATAACTCTTTCTAAAATAATTTTCCAATTACGTAAACAATGAAAATAAAAAAGAAATAAGTAGATCTTTTGAAATTTTATATTTGCCCCAAATCGTCAAATTTTCGCTTCCTTGGTCCTTAATCTGGACGTTATGAATGTGTTAGCTCACATTTTTTCTATTTACAACGAAATTAATTAAGTTGTCAATGCATTATTTAAATAATGTGATAAACATAACTTTCATATTTATAAACACTAGGATTAGACCTTTCAAATGGTGTATAACATGACTGTTGCTATAATAGGTGTTTTTTGCCTTTATACATGAAATGGCAAATCATTAGTTACTGGACATTTAGTATTTAGGTACATTTAGTATTTAAGTACATTTAGTATTTACTCCTAGAATCTACCATCTAGTCACAACTCACAAATATGTAGGACTGTTACTTTTGTGTTTGCTAGCCATTACATGGAAATGGCAGATGATTCATTAAGTTAAAATACTCATTACAGTATATATTTTATGACTCATGAACATTCATTCACTTTCATTTAAGTTTTCATTTTAATAAACTAAGTTATATTCATTTATCTCTTGTCTTCTCTTGTCACTATGTGTATCGTAGCGTATCGAGATACGTATCGAATCGTGACCTAGGTGTATCGTTGCAGCCCTACTTAATAGCTTGTCGGAGTGAGTTGGGTTTAACGCCGCTTTTAACAATATTCCAGTTATATCGCGGCGTGTCAGCTTAATGTGGGAGGAAAGCCCGAAGTGATGCAGGTCTCAGACCTTTACCACTTCGGTGAAACCCACGAGCACGGGTATGGTGCTGACAAACCTAGAAACATAATTGGGGCGAACCGGGATTCGAACCCACAATCATAGGTTTCTGGCGTGTCCAAGGGACGCAACTCTGCACAGCGAAACGCGGCACCTTAGACGACTGGGCCATCCGTGTCCCCACCTTGTCAGATGACGTTTCATGTTTCCACAGACGTCTCGGAATTGTGGCATAGAGTCCCTGATTGTATTGGAAGCTTTGGTTTTGCCAAGTAGTCAGGATAGGCTGAAACAGCTGCTTGCTGGTGGAGCTGTGCATGGGGACTTCTTTCCGAATGATTCAAGAGTGAGTGAGCGAGTGAGTGAGTTGGGTTTAACGCCGCTTTTAACAATATTCCAGTTATATCGCGGCGTGTCAGCTTAATGTGGGAGGAAAGCCCCAAGTGATGCAGGTCTCAGACGTTTACCACTTCGGTGAAACCCACGAGCACGGGTATGGTGCTGACAAACCTAGAAACATAATTGGGGCGAACCGGGATTCGAACCCACAATCATAGGTTTCTGGCGTGCCCAAGGGACGCAACTCTGCACAGCGAATCGCGGCGCCTTAGACGACGAATATATTTATATGAAATGTTCACCACTTGAAGAAATTACCTGTTGTCATTTTTTAGATGAATCTGTCAAAAGTCTTACGACTGCCACCTTATCACTGCAACCTGAATCCAATCGAGTTGGTATGGGGCATCGTCAAGGGTGACGTTGGACGATCGAACACAACGTTCAAATTACGAGACGTTGAGCAACTCCAAAGGAATCCTTTGAACGGGTAACAGTAGAAACATGGAGGCGTTGTGTGGCCATAGTAGTTGACGAGATAGAGCCACGTTATTGGTCACGAGATGGACTACGGCCAGCAACAGTCCAACCTATATTAGTGGCAGTCGGTTCAGGCACCAGCAGTTCCGACGACGAGGTCTGTGGCATGAGCGAGTCAGATTGCGACTGAAATTATCATGAGACGGCCCCTCTAACGCGCTGTCATTGCCCCTACCACAGAACGTGCAGTGCATGCGTGCTTGCGTTGTGCCTTCCACGGTTTGTCCCCCCTACGTGTCATGTACACATTTCTATTACATGATAGTTTCTTAAAGAACTTCATCCGTCATGGGTCTTAAAATAAACAAAATTCAGATTTTGTTGGGTACAGGGTATTCATGGTCAAGTACCGTATTGATGTTTCATACACTTTTCTGGATTTCGAGTTATTATGCAATTCATCATACTCATTTGGAGTCAAACGGACTGTAAGTGTGCTAGCGTTGTATTTTAAACAGCACCGCACCGAACAAAACAGTGGGCTGCGCATCTGAGAAGGTAGAATATACCACCCCTGTACCTTCACCACGTGGAACGGGTCTAATAAAGTCTTATGTCGTCATTCCTATCAATTGGGACCAAAGACGTCATATTGCGAGGGACATAAGCCGTTGTGCGTTTATTATGGAAATAGAACTCATGGTAAATTTGAAAAGTATGAACAGATTTTAATGAATAAAATAAATTAGTGACTTGTGATATTTGTATTGTTTTGGCTATGGAACTAATAGGTAAATACGTTTTATTTTGAAAAAGTACAAGAAAAATAGGTCTATTTTCGTGAAAACACGCTGTGTAAAGGGTTCGAGTTTGATATTTCTTTTCTCAAGTTATTGTTGCTACACATTTTTAAATTGAACAAGTCTTAATCTGCCACATCATCTGGATATTGATAATTTCCAAGAGGAAATTGTGGACATTCCATAATAATGGACATTTATTAAAGTTTTTCGATAATTGTGTAAGGATACGGCGACACAGTATTGTATTCGGATACGAAGCCCACGATACAATACATTCATTTACATCCCTTGTATCGTGATACGTACGGGGGCACGGATGGCCCAGTCGTCTAAGGTGCCGCGATTCGCTGTGCAGAGTTGCGTCCCTTGGGCACGCCAGAAACTTATGATTATGGGTTCGAATCCCGGTTCGCCCCAATTATGTTTCTATGTCTGTCAGCACCATACCCGTGCTCGTGGGTTTCACCGAAGTGGTAAACGTCTGAGACCTGCATCATTTGGGGCTTTCCTCCCACATTAATCTGACACGCCGCGATATAACTGGAATACTGTTAAAAGCGGCGTTAAACCCAACTCACTCACTCGTGATACGTACGACAATTACAGAACAAATTATTCAGCACCACGGTTACGCAGATTTTCAGTTATTTCCCGGTTGGCTATAAATAGCATCACATTTATATGGCTCTATGCTACTGTCCTGCAGGATCACTTCTTTGACGACTGAAAACAAATGCTTCAGGTTGTGATTTACCTGCACAAAATTTTAAATCAACTTGTGACATACAAGTACTTCTTCTGTATCTCACCCTCAGACGCGCGATATGTATCGTATTGTGACCGTTCCGTATCGTTACACTTCTGTCGTTCATGCTTTTGAATACTTCTCTATCCCTACAGGTAGCTGGTCACGCAGATGTCAATAGACACGAGTATTTATGTGGGAGGGTTAAGGAGGGACGTGTCTCATCCAGAGCTGAGAGAGCATCTAATCGATCTCTTCGCTTGCTTCAACTTCCACGTCCAAAGAAGACACATATTGATCATCAACACGAGTTCAGACTACCGCTTTGCATTTGTTGATCTGCAAGATGTCGGAAAAGTCAACATTGCTCTTCACTTCCTGAGTTCCCGAAGCAGCCAACAGCATGTTTCGTTTGACTTCACCTTAATAAAAGATCCAAACAATAATCTCATCGTCGAACAAAGGAGACGACCAAACAAACCCAGGAATCAAATAGTCGACTTAAGAGACGATGGCGCTGACAATGGCAGGGGTACACGGGTCCCAATGGCTGATGCAGTCAGAGAGCCTCCGGTCCCAAGTTCAAGTCATCAGGACAGTCATGCACAAACATCAACCACGAGTCTGGCGACACAAATCTCCCCAAACCCAATATCACCACCTCTTGGAAATGGCAGCGGTACACGGGTCTCAGTGGCCGATGCAGTCAGAGAGCCTCCGGTCCCAAGTTCAAGTCATCAGGACAGTCATGCACAAACATCCACCACGAGTCTGGCGACACAAACCTCCTCAAACCCAATATCACCACCTCTTGAAAATGCACAGCTGCTCTCCTCAACTACATCAGTGAGTTTTCTGGGTCGCGATGCACCCGAGCGTTTTTGTAATTACAGAGACATTTTAGAGAATCGGATTGCTGAGATTACACAGGGACACTACCCGTCTCCTGAATATGTTGGGAAGTCTGTCTGTGCCTTTCTCAACACAAATGGTGGGACATTGTTCATTGGGGAAGATAATCATGGTAGGTGAATCTTTAAGAACAGTAGTAACAAGGAAAAGTATACAATGTTCATGGTTTAAGCACCTTCAAATAATTCCACAGGCTTCTTTGGAGGTAGACAGTTCCAAACTGATAAAAATATCAACGACAAAAAATAACTTGTATTATATTTTGGTACATGATTCTGTCATAAAAGATTGCATCCTTGTCAAGTCAATGAAACATGATATTGAGTGAACAAATGCTGTTGCTGAGTTTTGATGTGGTTTTAAACATGGTTGTCAATACAGCCATATTGTCCGTTTGCCAATTATTCAAGCATTGGTCAATGTGACGTTTATCATATACTCATATGTGACAATTGTGTTATTTTCACAATGACCATCTTGTACCATTCCTGCAGTTTGTTAAGTGCATTTTTTTGGTCTGACTGTGACCACTATTTCAAGTCTTAGCTCGATAAATTTCCTTTTGAGCCAGTACATTCAGCTTGTGACTTCTAACAAGTCCAGTATGTTGTAAATTAATTCTTCTATAAATGCTGAGGGAAACATGATCAAGATGATATTGTAATTCTTTCATTAAAGATTGTTTTTGTTTGTTTGCCAGAAAGGTATGGAACGCATAAGTTGTTTGTTTGTTGTTTAACGCCACACTCAGCAATATTCCAGCCATGTGGTGGTCTGTAAATATTCGAGTCAGGACCAGACAATCCAGGGAATGACATCATGAGCATCAATCTACACAATTGGGATTACAATGACATGCATCAGCCAAGTCAGCGAGTCTGACCACCCGATCCCGTTAGTCGCCTCTTATGCCAAGCATTGTCGCCAAAATGTGTTGTGTGTAAGCCACATGTTGTTCAATGTTGTGATTTCAATAATGTCTGTGTGTGTATTTCCCAAGTTGTGTTATCAACAGGCTCCAGTGTTATTTGTTACCAGGGGCGGTCGGGTAGCCTAGTGGTTAAAGCGTTCGCTCGTCACGCCGAAGGCTCGGGTTCGATTCCCGACATGGGTACTATGTGTGAAGCCCATTTCTGGTGTCCCCCGCCTTGATATTGCTGGAATATTGCTAAAAGCGGCTTAAAACCATACTCACTCACTCACGACTTTGTTACAAAATATTGTCTATCAGGTCTGTCAGATCTGTCATGTACAGGTTACGTTGTATTGTACGATCCACGTGCCATGTTGTGTTGTGCAATATGATGTTGTGCTTTCCACAAGCTATAGTGTGGTGTTGAATCTGGTGTTGTGCTATCCAGAAGCACAAGCTATGTACTTTTTTGTGCTATGCACAGGCTATCCTGTGGTGTCTATATCTATTATTGTGCTATGCACAGGCTATCTTGTGGTGTCTCCATCTCATGTTGTGCTGTCCACAGGCAATGTAGTTGGCGTGGTGGGTGACCAAGAAGAAGAGGACAGACAACGCCTGACGATAAATCAAGTAATCGAGTCCATCACGCCACCAGTGCTGTCAGACTTGTACAGCATCGACTTTGTACCAGTTCTGAATGAAAGCGAATCTTTCACCTGTGAGTCACTTCACACACATGTATTGGATGTTAACCCTTACAGAAATAATTAGCCCAATGTGTTAATGTAATTTGAATAGTTGAATATTTGCTACAGACTACAAGGATTAAAAAACACTATGAACATAATGTTGTAGCCGTTAATATGTGCATATGTATCCCAGATAACATAATGACACAGGCTAGGGTGTGAGGTCTGATCCTTTATTTTCTGTGGTGATAAACCGACACCCTGGAACAATGAATACAATAATAAACATACAATCATATCTATTACATCATAACTGAAGCAGATTAAATAATAATCTACGACATGTATAAGCTATACATGATATATCATTTATAACATTTTAAAATTATAAGCTTAGATATGTAAGTTTAATGGATTGACACATTAAATATAAATATGGTACAATAAATATAATATTATGTTACAATACAAGCAATATATAAGTATATATATATATATATATTATACCCGGTGAATCCCACTGGGGTTATTGGGTGGTCACAATCCCACGTCAATATGACAAATCCCTCGTGAAAACCTGTTCATGATATAAAATACATCATGAAGGTATGTTTATCTACACACATGAACATAACATGTAAACTATTATCAAATTATTAATACACACTACAAGTTGCTGAATACACAGTAGATTAACACAGACACACATATAGTGAAATGAAATATATCTAGTATACATACACTCACCATGCACACACTAATACTAGTAAATGTGACATGTTTAAATATAATTAAGGATCTATATAGACATTTATTAAACTAAAGTGATTTGCATAATTATACTGGCCTAAAATACAATTATAACTTTAACTACTAACCTTTATATAAGTATATCCTTTCTTCCAGTCCAGTGCACAGTGAAGTATTAATGCAAAGTGCAGGGTGAAAACAAGGGGGTTTGAAAGTGGGACACAGAGATTTAAAACTAGCCAATCCAGAGGACGCCTGGGCTTACACTCTGATTGACCACCAACTACTTAAGTGTGCAGCTAAGTAAAACATGACATTAGAATAGGGCTTTAATGATGATACTTGACTTACAACTACTTAAGTATGCAGCCTGAAATAAGAAAAACAATAAATAATTCTTGATTACTGCAATATCTGAAATATACAAAATACCATTATTGACAACATACATAGTAAATTAAAAGCTAATTAATAAATTATGATTAATATATACAGAACTACTATCTACCACAATAACATGTCTTTCCAATATTTTATTAACACAATTTTTGGTAGTATTTGTATATTTATTGGTGCTTAACATGCTTACTCTACAGTAACTTCTTTATTTATCATTGTCGGTATGCACTTTGAAATCAGGTTACAACTTTTAGAGGTTAGACGATGCAGAGTTGAAGTTTCTGCAATCTTAAAAGTATGTGTTTCAATACAGTCTGTGAAGCAACCACGATGGTAATCGAGTAGGAGAGCTGTATTGAAAGTTTGTGGGGTAACAGAGAGTTTGAAATACCTGTGCCATACCTGTGCCATCTCTGTGCTATACGTGATATAGGCAAGTAAACGCTCTTCACTGTTCTTTGCGATTTATCTCGCAGTTATCTTATGTTTGATGCTAAGAACCAAGTCAATACAATGATAACATGAAAACAAAGCCATCCTGCACCTTTAATGCTTTAGAATTTCGACTGCGTCCTCATGTAATACCGACTATGTAACACCAAGAGCTGACTGTTATCACTGGATGAGGACCATGTGATCTGTGTTTGCAGCCAATCGAAAAGTCATAGAGGTGAAGGTGAAGGACCCGGGTGATCATGGTGACCTGTACCTATACCTCGGTGACCCCTTCATTCATCGGGATGGCAGCGTTCAGATGATGGAAGCCAATGAAAGACAACAATGGGAGAGACAGGTGAAGGTAACCCCTGAAACAAATGTATAGTTTTCGTCATTCTAAAGAATACGTTTTTTCTATAATACGATTACAACATATGGCGATACTTTGTAAAAATTATTGTTCTTATGGAAACATGTCGTTTGGTTAAATATGTTTCATTTTTTATGTCAACTTTTATTTCAGGACAGCACTAGATCATTGTCAGACTGGGTTCTGAAGTAAAATAACTTAAAGTAACTGTTTGTATATATCCGATGTGTAAAACACATAGTACAGAGTCATCTATCGTATTGTTGTCATTTGGATTGATCCAAATAAGTATAAGTGCGCTGTCATCTCCAGATATAGCAAAGTCAGCTAAAATGCATAATCACAGATTTTCTGTTTAATTTAATACAAAGTTTTTACAACTCTAGACCAAAATGGGCAAAGTATGAAGAGCACAGTAAAATGGAAATACAAATGCTCAGAAATGGATTCTGTTCCGAAAGATCAGAAAGATCACTTAATCAATGCATCCCTGTGGTAGGCTCATGTACCCAATTTAAAAAAGTTATCAACAGAAACACCGAAGCTGATTAAGCTTTTGGTCAGCTAAAATAACGGTTCAGCATGTCCTGTTTCTATGGATGTCAGCGACGAGTCATGCAGTCGTCTACCACTGTTGCGCTGTGGATCAAACGTTTCGTTCACCATGAGAATAGGTTTACCCCCTTTACATGATCATAGAGTGGACGAAACTTAAGATCTATTATTTGATCAATTTTAGAAAGACTTAAAACCATATTATGTTGTTGAGAAACAATAATATTGTCATCGCAAACACACTCTTCCTGGTTAGTGAATGGAATATATTATAAGTACATCAGCTATCTATCTCACCTACCCAGGTGGCCCCTCCCAATTCCCGAAGGGTTGTCCTGTGTTGATATAGCTATCTCACCTTCCCAGATTGTCCCTCCCAATTCCCGAAGGGTTGTCCTGTGTTGATATAGCTATCTCACCTTCCCAGATTGTCCCTCCCAATTCCAGAAAGGTTGTACTGTATTCATCTGTCTAGCATCCCCCGCAAGACTCACCTACCCAAGTTGTCCCAAAAATACCTGATATGTTCTGCAGTGTTCATATAAACTCTCCAGACAGTCCCTATATATTGCAGAAAGGTTCTGCGGGTTTCATCTGTCTGTATTACCTCCCCAGAGGTTCCAGGAGAGTCAGGATGAAGTCATGGCGCAGCAAATGGAAATGGATGAGAAGCTGAACCTACAGAGCAGGAACCTAGACCTTATGAGACGGAATCTAGACCTTGAGAGGCGGAACCTAGAGCTTGAGATGCGGAGACGAACGTCCACAGTGTGTTCTGTCATGTAGCCTCCAGTCACGTCTTGTGCAGATGATCGACCGCCTCCGTGGTCCAGTGGTAGAGTGTCCGCCCGGAGAGCGGAAGATCCCCGGCCGCGTCATACCAAAAGACGTTACAAGATGGTACTTGTTGTTACCCTGTCTGGCGCTCGGCATTAAGGGGCTAAAACAAGGACTGGTCGGCTCGGAGTCAGTATACTGTGTCTGAGTGGGGTATTCATGTTAAACTGCGGCATGGTATCTCAGTGTGCTAGCACTATAAATCGGCATCAGTCTGGACTAGACAAGCAGCCACACAAACACATACACGTGCATGCATGTCGCTATGTAAGTGCAAAAATCTTGGACGCGACGTTAAACCCAATTTCACCTCACCTCACCTGTGCAGATGATCAGCCTCTCATTTTTAAATCTATTTAATATGCTTTTAACATCTTCAATATAATTCAAAGCCCCATTCTATTACAAAAAACATTATGATAACAGTAATTTTCCCCCTTACACGAATTCACCTTATAATCTTTTCAACAAAACAACCCCTTTTGCCTGGCCTATTTGAGATGCTTCCGAATGTGTGAGTTTAGAAATGCGTTACTGTTTGTTAAGAAAAAGGTTGATGCAAGCTGCATGACGTTTATACCAGACTCTGAATGGCTTTGTCTATGGCTTTGTCTAAAGCAGTGTGTCATATCTGCTGTGTGCGTCTATATATGTGCAAACTGATTTATTTGCCGATAGTTTTGAATGACATATATTACTCAAATAAGTGAAAACATTTCCGATTCTTCCATATTACTATAGTTACGCCATAGCACATGATCTGTACTGATATAAAAGAATCGCATGTTCTTTATCTACTTTTCAGTAACATATGTGTACATGTGATTATGTACTCTTAAGATTTGTGAGATGGCCCAGTCCTCTCAGGCGCCGCAATTCGCTGTGCAGAGTTGCGTCCCTTGGGCATGCCAGAATCCTATGGTTGTGGGTTCGAATCCCTGTTCGACCGATTATGTTTCTAGGTTTGTCAGCACCATACCCGTGCTCGTGGGTTTCACCGAAGTGGTAAACGTCTGAGACATGATCCAAATGGTCAACGGTAAAGGGTCTTATTCCAGCATCGTAAAAATGGGGGATGAATTACTAACTGAAATAAAATCTTTTCTATTCATGATCTCCACAATGCTCTTGGACAAGCATCATGATACTGCAACAGAAGCTGATATCATACATTATCAACTCCTGAAACATTTTTCATTACCATGTTTCGAAACTCTTCTGTTAATATTTGATGAAATTTTGATGCCCGGTATATTTCCTTCATCATGACGCGATCTACCTTCAGCTGCTGGCGATCTGTAGCCCATTTTTCTATATTGTATCGTCATGTATTGTGCTATTCTCTTTTATAATTCCTTACTAAAGTACTCACGGAAATGAAAAAAACCTGTTTTTCTCAATTTAAAAATCGACACAAAGTGTTACGTAGCTGTAAATACGAAATAACAAAACATCTCGAAAGGGACTAGTCTGGATTTGCTAGTTTGATCTCAGTGAACAATACAAAATGTACTTTACAGGAGGTAATTTGTCGGCACTTTCAACATTCAAAAATAAAACTAAGTCCAGATTGATATAGCAGAAACAGACTATAGGTATTATGCACTTGTTCTCACCTGTCGTCAAGGTGTCATAGGTCACCTTGATCTACTTACACCTGGTTATGCCCTGTTTCACAATAGTCTGTTTTATTCACATTTTTCCACACTTTTACGTGTAAAAAGGCATAAAAACATTTGATACGCTGTATTTGTGCCACGGCCCAGTTAGTGCTAATTAAGTTGTTTGAATATTTACATATTTTGTATATTAACTGCATTTATTTAAGATCTGAGGTCGAAAAAACAGTTTTTTTTCATTTCCGTGAGTTCTTTAGTTTTATATCTTTTTCTGTGATAAATCTAGTGATTTTACTGTCCTTCGTAAACCGTTTTTTAAATAAGTTTCAATATATGTATTATGTTTAACTATTGATAGTCACGATATGGCTGAAATATTGCCGATTTAACTCACTCACTCACTCATCATGACGCGATGCCATAGTTGTTCCCATACCAAAACCTGGACGGGATCATACCGATCCCTCAAGTTATAGACCCATTATATTGACTAAATGTGTTTGCAAAACCATGGTTTGGTTTTGTGTATTTATTGTTTAACGCCGCATTCAGCAATATTCAAGCTATATGACGGCGATCTGTAAATAATCGAGTTTGGACCAGACAATCCAGTGATTGATATCAGTAGCATCGATCCACGCAATTGGGATACGATGACATGCATCAACCAAGTCAGCGAGCCTGACCACCCGATCCCGTTAGTCGCCTCTTACGACAAGCATAGTCGCCTTTTAGGCAAGCATGGGTTGCTGAAGACCTATTCTACCAAGGATCCTCACGGGTCGATTTGGATGGCAATCCTATTAAGGTTGTCAAGTGTGTTTGGGTGTATTTGTTGACAGCCATTTGACATTTTTACCTCACATCAAACATTTATAAAATAGATGCCCGAAAGCCCTAGATTTGCTGAAAGTCGTTTCGAATTCAAAGTGGGGAGGTATCAGAAAACTCTCCTCCTACCGTACAGAGCTCTCATTCGCTCTAAACTAGATTATGACTCCATCATCTATGGTGGGGCCTGTACTAGTAGTTTTAACAATATTATGTACTATACATCATCAAGGTCTGAGGCTCTGCCTTGTTGCCTTCAGAACTTTTCCTGTCAACAGTTTGTTTTCACTATCCTTAACAAAACATCACCAACCTTTTTTTCAATCCATTTAATCCAGAGTATCACTGCGTTTTTTTCTGATGCAAACATTGAACTTACGGACATATCTCCCACCCAAATACTGTCGTCACCCCAGTGGCAACTGGTAAATTCACAGGTGCATGTAGATCATAAAGAAATCGGAAAAAATCATCTAATGTATCGGCAAGTATACATTGAGTTACGAAATACCTACAAGACTTACAGATCTATACTGAACAACAAAACTTCCTGTGACATTGAATAAGATTTAATGCAAAGTTATGTTTTGTACCAAATCTGAAACAATTTCGGTTTGCAACAGATAAAAGACTCTTGTAAGTGATTTAATTTGCCATACTGACTTCAGAAAATGCGTGATTTCATTAAAAAAAACATGAACATGCCAAATTATCAATTTACAAATCAATAGTGTGTGTCCACCTCTGGTTGCGATGCAAGCAACACATCTTCGTCTCATGGAATGGACCAGGCGTCGCACAAAGTCCTGTGGGATATCTGTCCATATCTGCTTGAGCATGTTTCGAAGTACTTTGAGTGACTGTGGAACACGTGGTTGACGTCGAAGGCGCCGATCCATCTCATCCGACATGTGCTCGATCGGTGAGAGATCAGGGGAGCGAGCCGGCCAGGGGATGAATTTCACGTTGTTTTGTTGAAGAGAATCCTGAACAAGTCGAACAATATGAGACCGGGCGTTGTCATGTTGAAAGGTAATGCCTGAGCCATGACGACGCAAAAACGGTAGAACAACTGGGCCGATGCTATCGTCGCGGTAGCGCTGTCCATTGAGATTTCCCTCTACCACTATCAAACGGGTCCTCTGTCTTGCTATAATCCCACCCAATACATAACACTGCCGCCTCCGAACCGATCTTCTTCCATGACACAATGATTGACGTAACGTTCACCTTGACGTCGGTACACTCGAATCCGTCAATTGCTGTGACTGAGGTGAAAACTCGTCAGTGAATAGAACTTGTCCCCACTGCATGGCCGTCCATCGTAGACGCTGTCTGCACCACTGTAGACGTCGTTGACGGTGGTTTCCTGTCAAAATGGGACGTCTGGCGACAATCCCTGCACACCAAGAGGCGGCGACGTACGGTTTGTGAAGATAGTCGTCGAAGACCAGGGATGCTTCTTGCAGTCCTGTTGCTGGCTAGAATAAATTTCGTAGGTGTGTTGTTCGAATCCAGTTGTCTTGTCGATTATTGGTTACGCGTGCCCTGCCACTCCGAGGATGGTCTCTGACTGCTTTTGTCTGTTGCCAACGTTGCCATAAACACCAAATGTTTCTGTGGACGTTAAATTGTCTTGCAACATCACGTTGACTCGATCCTGCTTCAAGCATACCAATGGCTCGCAGAGGCTCATTTTCGGACAGGCGTGGCATTTCGTAATATTGACTTATTGCGTAATTTTCATGTTTTTCTGAGTGGTTGTTGTCAGCACGATGCTAAACAATGCATATGGAATCCCGTTAAAGCACGTTTTTATACCCATTCTTGGGTAGTGAAATGCATGGGGCTAGCATAAAAGTCAACTTTTGCATGGAGTGCATGCTTTTCTGTAGCAGTTGCATTTTTGTGACGTGATTCCATACATGTACTACAATATTGAAACTTTACTTGTTTAGAAATACATTAAAATATTGATGTCACAGGAACTTTTGTTGTTGAGTATATATTTGCAGATGGTCCCAATGATGGTGGTGCACTGTCATTGGATTAAAAACAATATCATCAAGACTACCAGATGCTTGTTCCATTTTTACAGCTGAATCCAAGCTATTCTAGAAAACATCAATGAACAATCTTAATATAAACAATTTATCATACTTTCTGACTCTCTATCGTGGCCTCAGGCTATTCAAAATAATGCATGTCATCATATGCTTTTATTAGAAATTGTTGAATTACATAATGATCTTGCTAGTGGCCAATACGATATTGCCCTTTTTGGGGTTACCCAGCCATGTTGGAATCATTGGTAACACTATGACCGATGCTTCCGCAAAGCGGCTGTCAACAAATCTTTTACGCCACTTCAAATGCAATACAGTGACTATAGACCAGTGATCAGATGTTACATCCGAGATCTGATGCAAAAGAAGCGGGACACTCAAGTAGGTATCAATAAATTACATGAAATATAACCAACTATTGGCTACACCTACTTGGGTTGTCAGTCCACATTTGAGTGAGTGTGTGAGTGAGTGAGTGAGTGAGTGAGTGAGTGAGTGAGTGAGTGAGGGAGGGAGGGAGGGAGGGAGTTTTACACCGC